TCCCTCTCTCCCTCTCTCCCTCTTACCCTCTCTCTCTTCCTTCTTCCTTCTCCCGCAGCTGTTTTTCCATTTGTCCAGAGAGCGAGTGTTCTCAGAGGAGCGCACGCGCTTCTACGGTGCCGAGATCGTCTCAGCTCTCGACTACCTGCATTCAGCCAAGATTGTGTACCGGGACCTCAAGGTAAACAGAGAGGGGAGGCTGGTTGGGGGGCATGGATGAGAGTGATCAGATATTTGAGGGAAAACTTTTTCTTTTTTTTACCTCCCACCCCCACCACCTCTAGAGTTCCACACATTTTTTATTTATTTTTTTCATCCAGGAGGAGAGGAGTGGCTCAGGATGTGTGGTAATTAAAGAGAGGGACAGGGACAAACTTGCACAGACATAAAGCAGTAAAGAAGCGTGGGAGGTGGAGGAGCAAGGGAGGGAGGGAAGAAGCGAGGGAGGGGGTGCTGATGCCACAGAGGTAGAGAGGTAGATTGCTCTGTCTGAGCGTCTGCCTGGCAGCCTTGGCCCCAGCTCTGCTCACAGCAGCCAAGAAAACAAAAAGGAGAAAAAGCAGACTGAGAGCGAGAAAAACACTTCAGCCATTAAAATTAAAAGGTTGAGTGGCTTCACTACACGCCTGAAGTTTATTTCCCTCCTCTGCTTGGAGTTTGTGTGTCTACTGTGAGTGTGTGCACTGCCACTATGTGGGGTAATACAATATGGTTTACTTTACCTGTCTGCCTCTGCTCTCCTCTTCACAGCAGTTTAACTTTGAAGTACAGAAATATATATTTCAGTCAATTAACAAAGCTGTAAAGTATTGTGTTGATTCTCAGTCACAAATGATGAGAATTAAATATTATTCAAAACATTTGACAAAAATCTCTCGAGATGAATTCAAGCCAGTTCCCTTCTTCATGTATCTCCAAGAAATGCATTGTCAGAATTTCAGTTTTCTCTTCCACTGATTTTTTGAGACTCCAATGGTGAAAGGTGCATTGTGGGAATTTCTGTGTATCTTGTTTCCCTTCCAGTTGGAAAACCTGATGCTGGATAAAGATGGCCATATGAAGATCACTGATTTTGGCCTCTGCAAGGAGGGCATCACAGACGCTGCTACCATGAAAACCTTCTGTGGCACGCCAGAATACCTTGCACCTGAGGTAACTTTTTCATTTTCTTTTTGTCTCTGGTTTTTTTTGGATTTTTATTGTTGTTTGTGTTTCTCTTTCTCTCATGCCTTGAAAGTCTTCAGCCTCTTTCTTTTTTTATTCTTTATCTTCTCAGATTTCATGACTTGGCGTCATTTTTATGATCAGTGTTTTTGCCTCGTTTCACTTTTTTAGTCTCCCTCTCCTTCTAGATGCACATCACATCATGTGCCTTGACAATTCCAGGAGAAGTAATCAGAGCCAAGAAGAAAAGATAGAAACTCTTTGGTCAGTGTATGTGTTGCTATGTAAGGAGCTTTCTTCTTCTTTTTCAGTTAGCGTTAAATATGAGCATCAAATCAAAAGGCAAATTTCTCTGAATCAATTCAAATTACTGTCACTGACTACTACAGGATATGTTTTGTACAGAAGGGCAGATTAATGCATTATGTACAGGTACAAACATATATTGTCAGGTCAAAAAGTTACAGTATGTAGCATTATTTGATTACTGCTTACCAAAGTCAACCTAAGCATTCGTCAATCACAAAACAAAATGATACAGTTCAGAATTAACATCAAACTTGAGTAGATGTGAGATGATATTCTGCTCTACGGTGTATATACAGTATATATTATAGTCAAGAAGACCTGATTATGCACAGTGTGGGCATTATGAACATGTCCTGTGTGGCCAAATGGTTAATGGCAACATCTACAACACAATATCAATTCTTTATAAACTACATGAATCAATTTATCAATTCAGGTACTGTATGTTAAATTCTGTAAACTGAGCAGATTGACTGAGGTTGTGGCATCCATGGAGTGATGATCTAGGTAATCTCTTGCAACCTCTTACCCATAATACCTTGTGTTTTGCAAGGACTAGGTGTTTAAAACCTTATAGTGGAATTTATGGGTGTACATTTCATTTGGAGGTTTCACAGGCGAACACTTTCCATAATATCAGGATGAACAGTAAATATGCAGCTCATGCATGTGAATGAGGGGTGTTGGTTGAATTGGAAAAAGGGCACAACACAGTGCTTACACACACAAAAACACACAACTACATTCTTGTGATAGTTTTTTTTTTCAGCCATCCGCTGTCCAGCCATCAGCGCTGCCTCACTCGAAGGCCAGCAGATCAACTGGCGAGAGCGTTGCAGGACTGTGGGTGGTGGAGACAGAGGGATGTAGATGTGGAGATGAAGGCAGGAGGGGAGAGGCATAGTGTATATCCCACTTGAAAAAGTATGGAGGACAATTTGGCGCAGCATTTTGTGCTTTTTTTTTTAGAGTCCCTTCCTTTGCGTGCCAAAAGCTGATTGGAGGCTGTTGGTTATTTTTCACAGGATGTGCGTCTGTGTGCATTTATGTGTGTGTGCGCGTGTGTGCTGTGTGTGTGATTGCAGTAGAAAGTGCGGGCTAAAGCGAGGCAGATGGCGGCAGATGGGCGAGGTTGGAGGAAGGTGCTCGGAAAAAACCTGGAAATCTACACCACCGCCGCCGCCACTCACCCGCCCGCACGCTCTGCTCGCCTGCCCGCGTGTAAAAATAACACAGTTTGCTCGGAGCCAAGTTACAGAGATGCAAAGTAGCCGGGATTAAAAAGAGAAAGGGGGAGGTGGGGGTTGAAGACAGAGGAAGATGAGAAAGGAGAGAAAATATTTCAGGGTTACAGGAGTGAAATTCAGACAGTTCCCATGTTTGCCGTCAGTGAAAAGGGCAAATGAGAAGTGAATAAAGAGTGTTTGCTGCACTCCTGAAGGAACTCACACACAAATACTTCAGCAACACTACGCTGTCAAGTGCATAAATTCTTCAGCCGAATATGTAAAACATTAGATTGAAGTGCTATTGTTTGTTTCAAAGATAAATGTGAGATTAATGAACAATAAGCAGCGTAAGGTCCTTGTAAAGGGATGGAACAGGATCAGAGAAAACACATGGAGAGTCTTTTTCTCTGTTTTCTCATATTTTTTGTGTTTGACACATTTCCTTGTGGCTATTTGTTTTTTGAAGGGGATGGATTTGGGCTTTTTCCATTTATTTGTGTTTGTTTTTGTTTGTGTGTTGTATATGTTGTGCGTTGTTGTTTTTTTTTACTGTAACGGTAAATGTTTCATAAACATAGCAGCAGTCAGCCATTAGTACAACATTAAAAAATCTCAGAAGAGTGTCAACACTTTGGAGATAGAAGGTCTCTATGCGACACCAACAGTATGTGAGTGTATGTTCACTGTGCCGAGTATATCAGGTGTGTGTGTGTGTGTGTGTGTTTATGTTCCCTGTAGCCTGCTGGGTATCTGGGCTGGTACAGCCACAGGCTGTGTGTGCCCGTCCCGTCCCATCTAGTCCTGTCCAGGCTGCCAAAGCCCCCGTCCCGCGAGCAGAATCTAACTGCCACATGGCTGCCCCAACAGGGACCAAGACAGGACAAGACCTTCTCCCTCACGGCTGCTTTTAATCAGAGCTCTCCTCTCCCCTCCTCTCTTTTCCTCTCTCCTCCCCTCTTCTCCTTTCCTCTCCTCTCCTCTCCTCATGCCGATTTATCTCATTTGTCTTGTCCTATTTATTTGTCCTGTCTATTTCTAAAATACACACACATAACCACACATACTATACACAGACACACACTCACACAC